TCTCCTTCTGACTTCCATAACTCATGAGACTACAAGTAAAACAGTGTACAAGACTTTAATTCTTTTTTCACACTTTCATTTTTTCTTTGTGCTCCTCTGAGTGGATATCAAATGTTCTGCTCAAGTCTGCTTTTGAAAGCCTATATTAAATTTTTCAGTTCAGGGATGCCTGGGTGGCTCAGCCAGTTAAGCATCTGACTTTGTTTCAGGGTCATAGGATTGAGCCCCACATTGGGCTCCCCACTCAGCAGGGAGTCTGCTTGTCCTTCTGCCACTCCTCCAACTCCTGCTTGCTCTCCCTCTCAAAATCTTTATCAGGGTAAATGAAAGAGATATATGGTTTAATCTGAAACCAGCTGCAACTTGCTCCCAGTTGCAAAAGCTGAAGCAATTTGAGCAACAAAACATAGTGTTGGATTAAAAATGTTAATGTAAGATTATATATACACACACAATTATATAAACTGCTGTGTCTTGTCTCATTCCTCTTAGGGAAGTAGTCACCTTTTCACTATTGAGTATGTTAGCTGTGGGCTATGTTGAGGTTCATATACCCATTTTGTTGAGAGTTTTTATCATGATTCTGTCAAAGGCTTTTCCTGCATCTATTGAGATGATTGTAGGAGGTTAATCCATTAATGTGCTGTATCACATTGATTTATGGATATTGAACCATCCTGCATCCCTGGAATAAATCCCATTTGATAATAGTGTGTCATTAAAAGGACACACTATTAATGCCCATTTGCTACTCTTTTCATGAGGATTTTTACATCTGTATCAGGTAATTGGCTAGTAGTTTCCATCCCTTGTAGTGTCCTTGTCTGGTTTTGGTATCAGGGTAATGCTGACCTCATGAAATGAGTTTGGAAGTGTTCCCTCCTCTTCCATTTTTTTGGAATACTTTGAGAAGAACTGGTAATCTTTAAATGTTTGGTAGAATTTGCCATTGAAGTCTTAGGCTTTTGGTTACTGTTTCAGTCTCACTAGTAATTGGTCTCTTCAGGTTTTCTATTTCTTTATGATTCCATCTTGGTAGGTTGACTCTTTCTAGGAAAGTTCCATTGCTGGGTTGTCCAATTTGCTGGGAAGTAATTGTAGCAGTCTTTTAGATCCTTTGTATTTGTGTGATGTCAGTTGTAATGTCTCTTATTTCTGCTCTAATTTTCTTCTGACTTTGGGCTTTTTATTTCCTTTGATAGGACAAAGAAGCTATCAATTAATATGATTTCTAGTCTTAACCACTGTGTTTAGAAAAGAGGCTTGATATGGTTTTCTGGCCTAGCAGATGCTAGATCCTAGAGAATGTTCCATGTGTGCTTGAGAAGAATGTTCTATAAATGTCTGTTGATGCCATCTGGTCTAATGTATAATTTAAGTCCAAAGTTTCCTTACTGATTTTCTGTCCAGATGAAGTCCCCTACTCTTATTAGTAATACTTGCTTTATGTATTTAGGTGTGCCTACATATTTATAAATGTTATATGCTCTTGTTTGATACCTTTATCATTATACAATGACCCTCTTTGTTTTATAAGAGACCTTAAGCCAAGGATTATAACTCTGGCCCCACCTGCATGGAAGATCTTTTTCCAACCCTTCATTTTCAGTCTGTATGTGTCCTTAAAGCTGAAGTCAGTGTCTTATAGGGAATATAGACTTGGGTCTTGTATTTATACCCGTTTAGCCACTGTCTTTAACGTAATTATTCATGGGTATGTGCTTACTACTATTGCCATTTTGTCCCTTTATGATTTGCTGTCTGGCATACCTAGATCTAATACAAGTTTTTCGTCATGGTTACCATGAAGATCGATAAGCTGAGAAAATTTTACGTTTTCTACTTTCCCCACCCATGTTTTGGTTTTGATGTCACAATTTACATATTCTTAACTCATTAATGGATACATAAGGTATTTTAGTTATTATTTTTAATACTTTTGTAACTTTTATACTAGTTAGGTGATTTACCCACCCCCCAACACAAGAGTATTCTGAATTTATGTATTTACCTGCTTTCCTGTTACTAACTGGTAAAGTATAAATCGAATTAGGTGTCCTTTCATTTCAGCTTGAAGTACCACCTTTAACGTTTCCCAAAAAGCCAGTCTTAACTCCTTCAGCCTACACTTGCCTGGGAAACTTCCTTCCATTTTGAAAGACTATTCTTGGTTGGCAGTTTTCTGCTTTCAGCACTTTTGGGTTTGTGATCAACTCCCGGCAGAAATGCAGTCGTCATTTCACCTGTAGTTTCAGATATAACCTAAAAAACAACTTTCCCAATCCCCATAAATGGTTAGATTTTCTACTATCTACTCAAGATCGAGTGTATGGGAAAAGTTTTTTTTTCTATATTAACAGACAAGGTCCCACATGATGGAAGCAGAATCTGCTAGATGAGAGGACCACAGCAAGGCACATGCATTTAGTTGAGAAGTTCACTGTCCCCAACATAATTATCTGTTCATCCTCCGGCTCCTGAACTTAAGTTAACAGAAACAAGGAAGGGCTTGAGAAAAATTTTCGAAGAGGAGTGGAAAAAAAGGGGGGGGGGGCATGCCATGAACTTTAGAGATGATTTATACAATTGCTGCAAATAGGAAATTTCCCAAATCTTACAAAGATTCTCAAAAATATATTTAAGAAGCCTCACATATTTAGTTTTAGCAAATATAAGATTCACTTAACCTTGTCAATATTTCTTAATGAAAAACTATTGTATAACTTAATCAAAGATGTCACTGACCCCCAGTGCTAGTTCACCTATTGAGAAATAGATAAGTCACCTCTAGGGTCAAAAAGAACACTAGGAAATCCCAACACCCTGTATTATTTAGCACCTTGAGGTATTAGTGAAGAAGTAACCACTGGAAAAGAAGGGTTCAAACAATCTCTGTTTACAGAGTATGGCCAAAGAGTCAAGGGGAAAATATTACAAGAAAATCAGACAAAATATTATAAAGCCTGTATTAATAAAATTGTGCACTCCCTATATAGAAATCTGACCAGGTAGAATAATATTACATAGAGACGTGGTAACCTTTAGGAGTTATTTACAATACAGATGCACAAAGATAGAGCAAAAGGGAAGCTGCCAACAATGAGCACACAAAAAGATGTTTAACCTAACTCAAAACCACAATGAGATACCACCTAAAACACAAATAGCAACTGTTGGTAAGGATGTGGAAAAATTGGAGCCCTGTGCATTGTTTATAGGAATGTAAGTTGGTGGTGCTGCTATAGAAAACAGTATAGATACCCAAAACAATTGAATGCAGGGTCTCCAAGAGGTATCTGTAAACCTATGTTCTTAGCAGCATTATTCACAACAGCCAAAAGGTAGGGAAAAAATCCAAGTGTTATTGTTACATAAATGGGTATTGTGATATATGCTCATAATAAATTGAGCCTTAAATAGGAAGAAATTCTGGCACATGCCACAACCTGGATAAAGCTTGAAGACATTAAGCCCAGGGAAATATACCAGTAACAAAAATCATTCTACTCATATGAGATACCTAGACTAATCAAATTAATGGAGGCAGTAAATAGAATGGTGGTTGACAGGGACTGGGGAGAATAGGAAATGGAGTTATTTAATGGGCACAGAGTTTTGGTTTTTTAAATGATTTCGTTCAGCCTTTTCTATAAGTCAAATCATTCCTTAATGTTTTAAAAACATGTATCCTTGAGGGATGTCAGCACACAGCTCAATAAGCTGTCACTGCTGTATCCACCCCCCCCCATTAACAATAATTTAGCACCCATCTACTTATGAAAGTGCATTCCTGGGAGCTTTGGGATCCAGGTAGGAAAGTGTGAAATTCCTGAACAGTCTAAGACCGAGGAGAGCCCTTTAAAGAAAGCAGGCTTTCACCCAGGCAGCTCACTGACCAGGGTCCCAGATACAGAAACATTTCCACAATCCTGAGGACTTACCCACAGCCCCATTTGGCTATAGGGCTGTCACCAGTACTATATCCCAACAGCCTTGGGAGCAGTCACACCCATCTATATGTCCAGTAATAGAGACCTCGGTCTTGGCTGTGGACCCTGAAGTAGCCATGAATACTGGAGCTCTTTAAGCCCACCAGCCTCTAGCCAACTGTAGATTCCAGATTCCGAAAGGGCCCTGCAAATTGGGTCCAGCCCATCCCAGTTAGAGTCAACTAGTCCTTCCTGGCACAGGGACATTGTAGGAGAGTCTCATTTCTCAGGTCCCAGCTACAGATCTGAAAATAGCTTTGTACACTTGAGGACTTGCCTGTAGTCCTGTATGGCTTGGTTTTGTCATTTGTGCAATGGACAATAGACATTCAGACCTCAGTGCAGGCTGTGGACCCTGAAGGTGCCCTAACTTGAAGCAAGCCTGCCAAACTTGGTTAAACTGTAGATTCCCGGGGCACCTGGGCGGCTCAGTCGGTTAAGCGGCTGCATTCGGCTCAGGTCATGAGCCCAGGGTGGTCCTGGGCTCAAGCCCCACATCAGGCTCCCTGCTCAGTGGGGAGTCTGCTTCTCCCCTGCCATTCCTTGTGCTTGCTGTCTCTCTCTCACTTTCTTTGTCGGGTAAATAGGTAAAATCTTAACAACAACAAAAACCCTCAACAATATATTTAAAAACAAAACAAAAAACTGTAGATTCCCCACCATGGTACATAAATAGTATTGTTGACACAGAGAGCAGGCAGGAGAAAGGCTCATCCATGCCCCCTGAGAAATTGAAAAGGCCCCATTAATCACTGCCATAGTCTGCTAGCAGTCTGAGGGCCTTGGTGGAAGACCCAGCTATCTGTAACACTGGAGATCCTGAAGGAAACTGGTGACCAAAGGGTTAACAGCACTACTAAGTACAGCTGTAACTTTTACCCAAATTCTGTTTGTCCCCAGAATGCACTGTAAGCTAACACAGGCTACAGGACCTGCCGTGACACAGTGTTTCCACAGCTATGATTATGCCAGGCAGGAATGTTCACAAAACCTTGATTTAACTTTTTGCAGAGACTCAAAGTTTCACCAAGGACCTGGCCAGAACCACCAACCTTCTCGGTAAGCATGTGTGAGTATCCAGTGGATGAACTTTTAATATAATTCCACCCTTGGATCATGCTAAGGACCCAACTTCCTAGTCCTGAATTGCATGACAACATAAAAAGATCCACGCAAGTCCAGATAACAAATTGACTTTAGGCCTTCCCTACTTAGAAACCTCCTTTAAATAATGTGGCTCCTTTCCCTATACCACTTACTTCTAAATATTATCCCTGACTATCCCCCTTTGGGGAGGCAAATTTGAGGCTTGCCATCTTTTTGTTCGGCTGCCTCTTGGATAAATCCTTTCCTAGCTGCATACTCTGTCTCCGTGATTGATTTTGCTGCACATCAAGCTTAGGAACTCAGGTTCAGTAACATCCTCCACACTCATAGTCTGCCAGCAGTCCTGAGGGGCCAAGGTCCCAGCAGGAGACATTCCCAAATTCCTGAAATTCTGAAAGGGCCCGCTACCCAGTAGGAAACATAGCCATGCCTCTGGAATTTAGAAAGGGCCCTATACACTGTCCATGGACAATCCTGCAGGCACAGGGATGAGGCAGGAGACACCTTCGCACCTAAGGAGATGTTGAAAGGGCCCTACACTCAGGTACAAGCCCTCCAGTCATGGTCAGGGACCAGCCCACCTAGGGACCTACCAGGAAACATCCATTTGTGCCTCCAGAGTTAGGTCTGATGACAATAAACATGATTGTAGAAGTTGTAGTAGACCTGAAGCACAGTTCCAATCCCTATCTACCTGGGGACCCATCAAGTGACAAGACAGCATCCCTCTCAGAAACCATGTGGGAGCCACAATTGCCATGCACCTGGTAATGGGCTCACTGTTGGAGGACCCAATTGGGGCCCCATGTGTATGCTCACCTTAGTGACACTCTACTGAGGAAGGTAGTGGAGGCAGTCCCACCCACTCAGGGACCAGACAGGATCCATACCCATCCAGGTCCCCGATAACATGCCCACCAACCACAGACCCACCAGCAGTCTCATAACTGGCTCCACCCTAGCATGACTGTGATTTTGAAGGTAATACCATCAACCCAGAGAACAGATAGGAATATACAGAAATCCTGGACCTGAGGAATACAATGACAGAAGTGAAACATTCAGATTGCACAACAGATTTGATAATGTAGAATAAAGTGTAAGTGAACTTATTAGCATCACAGAAGTCCCAGAAGGAGATAAGCGAGAAAGGAGAACAATTAAATAATAGAACTCTGCCAAATCTAGGGAGAGATATGGGCATTCAGGTACAGAATGTTGAAAGGACCCCAACCAAAATCAACACAAGATTATTCTAAGTCAAAGACAGAGAGAATTATTAATGCAGCAAGAAAAAAAACAACTTGCTGTATTCAAGGGAATCCCTATAAGGATAACAGATTTCTTTACAGAAACTTTGTAAACAAGGAAGAAGTAGATAATATATTCAATGCTGAAAGAAAAATCTGTCAGCTGAGAATACTATATACAACAAATCAAGCCTCCAGAGATGAAAGATCTATCCAGAAAAACAAAAGCTAAGAGAGCTCATCACCACTAGACCTGCCTTAAAAACTGCTGAAGAGAGTTCTTCAGGCTGAAATAAACTTAACATCCTTTTATTTCAGCCTGAAGAACGCTCAAGTGACATGAAATATGAAAGTTAAGTTCATAATACCCTGCCACTATAATAGTTGTATGTAGATCACTTGTTTCGCTACTATAAAAGTTATTAAAAATGACTATAACTCCAATAGGGGCACCTGGCTGGCTCAGTCAGAGCATGACTCAATCTCAGAACCATGAGTTCAAGCCCCACATTGGGCATAGAGCTTGCTTAAAAATAAGAAATGACTCTAACTACAATGATTTACTAATGGCTGCACAATATACAAAGAAGTATGACATGAACAGTATAAAACAGGAAAGTAGAATTATTGTACTAAATTGATAATTATCAATTTAAAGTACCTTTTATACATGCAAGATCTTTTAAGTATGCCTCATAGAAACCACAAATAAGAAACCTAGTGTAGGGTGCCTGGGTGGCTCAGTTGGTTAAGCAACTGCCTTCGGCTCAGGTCATGATCCTGGAGTCCCAGGATCAAGTCCCACATGGGGGGGGGGGGGGGCCTGCTCAGCAGGGAGTCTGCTTCTCCCTCTGACCCTCCCCCATCATGTGCGCTCTCTCTCAAATAAAATCTTTAAAAAAAAACAGTGTAGTTCCCAGAAAGATAAAAATTCATTTGTACCACAGGAAAAAAAAAAAAAAAAACCCACAAAAATCCACAAAGGAACACTGCAAGAGAAGGAGAGGGGGGGAAAAGGAAGTAAAACAGCAGCAACAACAACCAGAAAACAATGCAAGGGCAAGTTTAAGTCCTTCTCTATCAATAAACATAAATGGTCTAAATTCTCAGTTGAATAACACAAAGTAATTGAATAAATTTTTAAAAATCAACAATATGCTACCTAAAATATACTCACTTTAACTTTAAAGACACATAAGAGGGTGAGAGTGCGGGATTAAGAAAAAAAATTCCATGCAATTGGTAACCCGAAGAGAGCTGAAGTGACCATACTCATCAGATAAAATAGACTTTCAGTCAAAATTGGTAACAAGAGACAAAGGTCACTCTACATCAATAAAGGATCAATTCATCAAGAGACTAATAATAATAAACTTATATGCATTCATTATAAGAGGACCTAGATATTTAAACCAGATCTTAGCAAAACTAAAAGAAGAAATAATAATAAAAGTAGGGGATGTCAGTATTCCATTTTCAAACAGAAAATTAGTAACAGTGGATCTACATAACACTATAGACAAATGGACCTAACAAATATATCCCAGAACATTCCATTCAGCAGCACCAGAAAACTATCTCCAGGATAGATCATATGCTGAGCCACAAAGCCAACCTTAACACATAATATTAAAACCATAACTCAAAACTTTCCAAACAAAATGGTACGGAACTAGAAATCATTAACAGGAGGAAAATTAAATTCATAAATATGTAGAAATAAATAGCCTGAAGTTAGCTATAGAAAATATTAAAGATTAGAGCAGAAATTTTAAAAAGAACTGAAAATGAAATAGAACTGAAAACAAAAAATTAAAACTAAACACTGCTTCTTTAAAAAAATAAAATTGATAAACACTTAGCTGGACTAACCAAGTGGGGGGAAAGGACCCAAATCAACAAAATTATGAATGAAAAAGACATTACAGCTGATACTATTTTTAAAGATTTTATTTATTTATTTGAGACAGAGAATGAGAGACAGAGAGCATGAGAGGGAGGAGGGTCAGAGGGAGAAGCAGACTCTCTGCTGAGCAGGGAGCCCGATGCGGGACTCGATCCCGGGACTCCAGGATCATGACCTGAGCCGAAGGCAGTCGCTTAACCAACTGAGCCACTCAGGCACCCCTACAACTGATACTATTAACAACCACATACCAACAAACTGGGCAACCAAGAAGAAATAGAAAAATCCCCAGAAACATTCAACCTATAAAGATTGAATCAGAAAAAATAGGAATCTGAACAGACCAATTACTAATAAGGAGACTGAATCCATTAACAAAAATCTCAAAAGCACAGGATCAGATGGCTTCACTGGTGAATTTTACCAAATATTTAATGGAGAATTCTCAAATTTTATGAAAAATATCAAAAAGGAGCAAGCACTCCCAAACATTTCATAAGGCCAGCATTACCCTGATACCAAAGCCAGAAAGGGACACCAAAAGAAAACTACAGGCAAATACCCCTATTAACATAGATGCAAAATCCCTCAAGAAAACAAATTGAATACAGAAGCATATTAAAAGAATCATTCGGCACAATCAGTTGGGATTTATCCCTGGGATGCAAGGATGATTCAATATACACAAGTCAATCAATGTGACACATCACATTAATAAAAAAATCTTATGATCCTCTCAATACATGTAGAAAAAACATTTTAAAAAATTCAGCACCCACTCATGATAAAATTCAACAAATTAGGTATAGAATATACATAAGCATAATAAAGACCATATATAACAAGCCTACCAGCAACCTCATACTCAATGATGAAAGGATAAAAGCTTTTCCTCAAATACTGGGAACAAAACAAGAGTGTCCGCCTTTACCAATCCTATTCAAGATAGCCCTGAGCATCCTACCCAGCTCAATCAGGCAAGAAAAAGAAATAAAAGGTAACAACATGAATGAACTAGAAGGTATTACACTTAAGTGAAATAAAGACAAATACCGTATGATTTCACTTATATGTGAAATCTAAAAAACAAAACAAACAGACTCACAGATACAGGAAAACTATTGGTTACCAGAGTGAAAAGGTTTTAGGGGTTGAAATAGGGGTGATTGAAATAGGTGAAGGAGATTAAGAGGTAAAAACTTCCAGTTAAAAAATAAATCATGGGCGTGCAGTATATTGCATAGGGAATATGGGCAATAATATTGTAATAACTTTGTATGAAGAAAGAAGGTAATTAGACTTATTGTGGGGATGTCATAATGTATAAAATATTGAATCACTATGATGTACACCTGAAACTCATAGGATTTGGTCTGTCAAATATACTTTAAGATTTTATTTATTAGAAAGGGTACAAGCACGAACAGGGGTAGGGGCAGAGAGAGAGGGAGAAGCAGGTTCCCCCCTGAGCAGGGAGCCCTACGTAGCACTTGATCCCAGGACCCTGAGATCATGACCTGAGCTCAAGGCAGACGCTTAACCGGCTGAGCCACCCAGGCACCCCAAATATACTTTAATTTTTAAAAAGCATTAAAAGTGGCGCCTGGGTGGCTCAGCTGTTAAGCATCTGCCTTCAGCTCAGGTCATGATCCCAGGATCCTGGGATCCAGCCCTGCAAAAAGGCTCCCTGCTCCGTGGGAAGCCTGCTTTTCCCTCTCCCAATCCCCCTGCTTGTGTTCCCTCTCTCGCTGTGTGTCTCTCTCTGTCAAATACATAAATAAAATCTTTAAAAAAAAAAAAAAACCACTAAAATTGTAAAGGAAGAAGTAAAATTGTCTCTATTTGCAAAGGACATGATTTTACATATAGAAAATCCTATAGACTCTGCATACGACACACACACACAAACCTGCTAGATATCATCAACAAATTTAGTAGTTACAGGACACAAAATTGACATACAAAAGCTAGTAGGAGCATTTCTATATACTAACAGTGATTATCTGAAAAAGAGTAAAGAAAAACAATCCCATTTACATTAGCATTTTTTAAAAGATTTTTTTTATTTGACAGAGGGGAAGCAGCAGGCAGAGGGAGAAGCAGGCTCCCTGCTGAGCAGGGAGCCCAATGTGGGGCTTGATCCCAGGCCTCTGGGATCATGACCTGAGCTGAGGACAGAAGCTTAACGACTGAGCCACCCAGGTGCCCCACTTAGGAATAAATTTAATGAAGGAAGAGAAAGACATCTAGAGACTTTAAAAAATTGATGAAGAATTAAAGATAGCACAAATACATGGAAAGGTATCCTATGTTCAGGAATTGGAAAAGTTAATACTGTTAAAATGCCCATATTACCCAAAGCCATCTAGAGATTCAGTGCAAATCCCTATCAAGATCCGAGTGCCTGGGTAACTCAGTTGGTTCAGAATTCAACTCTTGATTTTGGCTCACGTCATGATCTCAGGGTTGTGAGATCAAGTCCCATATTGAGCTCTGGGCTGAATGTGGGGCCTGCTTAAGATTCTCTCTCTCCTGGGGCGCCTGGGTGGCTCAGATGGTTAAGCGTCTGCCTTCGGCTCAGGTCATGATCTCGGGGTCCTGGGATCGAGTCCCGCATCGGGCTTCCTGCTCCTTGGGAGCCTGCTTCTCCCTCTGCCTCTCTCTCTCTGTCTCTCATGAATAAATAAATAAAATCTTAAAAAAAAAAAAAAGATTCTCTCTCTCCTTCTCCCTCTGTCCCTTCCCCCGCCCACATGCGCTCACTCGCTCTCAAAAACAAAATTCCAATGATATTAAATATATACGTATACTTGGGGTGCCTGGGTGGCTCAGTCAGTTAAGCGGCTGCCTTCGGCTCAGGTCATAATCCTGGGGTCCTGGATTGAGCCCCACATCCGGCTCCCTGCTCAGCGGAGAGCCTGCTTCTCCCTCTCCCTCTGCCTGCCACTCTGCCGACTTGTACTCTCTCTCTGTCAAATAAATAAAATCTTTTAATATATATATATGTATACTTAATGGAAGTTTAATTATCATGCAGTATTATCAGTTTCAGTTATACAGTATAATCATTCAACAATTCTACAATTGGAGGCTGGGAAGATGGCAGAAGTGGAGGACCTTAGGCTCACTTCCTCCCATGGACACAACTAAATAAAATTCACATCAGTGTAAACAACCCAGAAAATAACCCAAAGACTGGCATAACAAACTCCACAATTAATGTAGAGAAGAGGCCACATTTAAGAGGGTAGGAAGGGTGGAGACACAGAGGGGAGCCAAACAGATCCACAGGGCCAACTGTGGGAGAGAAGGACCCATGGCCATGGAGAAGGGACAGAAACAAGCTATCACACAGGGGAGCCCACATGGGGAAGATGAATCCCCTTAACATTTCGCTTGGAAAACTAGAGGGGCCAAATTTCATGAGTTCTTATAACCAGCAGGACTTAAAGCCTGGTACTTTAAAAATCAGTGGGCTCAGTTCTGGGAGATCCTGGAAGCCGATAAGAACGGAGTCACCCACTTAAAGAGACAGGACAACAAACAGCTCACAAAGATACAGCATAGAAACAGCATTTTGAAAAATGTCTGGGGTATACCAGAGACGTATTTGTTTATTAATCTCAGAGTGTGTGCTGGAGGGGCAGAGAACATTGGGAGGCTTCTTCAGGAACATAGGAGGTGGTGGGCAGTATTTCCCTCTCCTGTCCCTCACCCTACACAAAGCCATCTATGGGAACCAGTGCACAATTAACACTCACTACCTAACTTGCTAACATGATGCATCCTGTGCATCTCCTTCCCCTGTGTTTCTGTGGATCTGCCCCCCTACTGCCAGGCCTGCCTCAGTCACAGCAGATGCAGGTACCCCCCTCAGAGGACCAGCACAAATCATG